AAAACTGTGTTTCCTGATCCCAGAAACAGCAAGGAACGTGTCAAATCAGGAAGGCCAGAGGAATGGCAAAGGAATCTCCAGGGTGGAGAGGGAAGTCCTGCTGCTCTGCCAAGCAGGAGCAGTTTGCTGCCCTGCCCTCATATTTACCTCAAACTCACCATTTGCTTATTATAAACATTGCTGAGTCAAATGTGTCATTCAGGAGAGAAGAATTTGATCTACTTGCAGTAAGAATTTGTCACCTGAGAGGTGTCTGAATTCCTCCCTGGATTCATTTGCATGTTTTACCAGTCAATCAATGACAGTTCTGCCACAAGAATATTTCTCTTCTTAACAGAACTTGTCACTGGCAAGTTACATCTTTAAGCCATCTTCTGTGTGTTTTAACATTGTAAGTGAAAAAGTAGTAATTTACTTCACAGTGTTCACTTTGAATGACTTAAGCATCACAAAAAAGGATTTACAAAAAGCATGTTGTGTTTCATTGCCTGCAAAATCTGATTATTTTTCCCCTGGGAGCAGGGGATGGTGAACTGAGCGATGCTTTTGACAGCTGTATGTGCTGAATCGCTCTTCGAAGGAGCCAGGTCTATCCATCGACTCTAGAGGGAAGCAAAGACAAACTGGCTTCCCAGTTAGCCCTCTCCCTTGGATGCCCGTGTTTAGGTGGGACGGAGGCAGGCCCTGCTGCAGTCTCTGCCTTTCCACTGCCCGTTCTGTTTAAAGGTCGCAGGAATTCTGCCCTCCCGGGAGTGTTCTAAATTAAATTTCTTACGGCATGATGGGGGTGAAAAATTCCAAAAATGCAGACAGCCATAAACGCGAGCTCCATCCAGCAAAGGCTGCTATGAAATGTTTCACGCTTATTTTCCCAAATCCAGGACCGCCCCCTCCTGGCGATCCGGGCGACCTGCCCGGGCCGGGCCAAAGCGCACAGGGACGGAGCGCCGGGGGATTTTTGCCTGCCCGGGATGGACCGAACGCTGAGACCTCCCTGTCGAGCACAGAATCTCCATGGCTCACACTACAGACATACCGACTTTTAGAATTAAATGCCTGAGGCGACAGAAACACAGCGCGAGTGACAAAATTAATTATTTAATCTGCCTGCTTGGTAGCAGATAAACGGCAAATAAGATTTTATCTCTTCTTAGGGAAGTGGAAATTATGGGGATGAACAAACTCCTAAAAATAACAGAATAGCTAAAAGCTCTGCTTTCTCTAGAGCAAATGTAGCCCTTTGGGAAAGTGCAACAAATACCATCTGTGTTTCCAAAACTCCGAAGTTAATTTGTTGCAGACGTCTCCGTATTTACTGAAAATGGACATATTTTGTGTGGCAGAACAACATCTTGCAGTGATGAAAAATAACTCCCATCCAATTAACTCCAAAGGGGGGTTTACCTGAAAAAGCTCAGTTTAAAAAATCACTTTGTTTAAATCAGCCATCAAACCTATCTGTTGGGGTTTTTTAACTTAGTTTCATACACATATTGACAGCTGTTCACAGAGGAAGCTGAGAGGGGAAACTGTGAAGGAGTTGTGACATTTATGACAGATATCTCTTTCTGATTACCAGACCAGAAGTGTAGCTTACAGACAGCTAACACCTTGGTGACGTTTCTTCAGAATGGACAACTCTACAGGCTTTCCTGACAATCTGTTCTTTTCACTGTTCCTTTTAAGCACTTCTGTTGCTTGTAATTCATGTTCAGTGTAAGGGATAATTTAGAAGACATGCTTTTGCATCAAAATGTTTAACTGGAATTTTAAAAGAATTCAGAGTGTAACTCTGAGATGATGTAAATGAGTATTTGCTTTAAAACAGCATATCTGATGGGAAGCCAGGGGAACCCAGTACAGCACTTCAGCTGACAACAGCTAAGCATCTTTGTTTTAAACTATGGCTGGAATTGGGCCACGAAATACAGAATACAGATAGAAATGCGGATCTGAATTTCTCCTGTGCTTGGTGCGCAGTTTGGGTCTGTTGCAAAGACAAGTTTGGAACTAGATTTTAGTCTAACTTTTTTGAAGCATAGTGGGGCCCCAAATATTACCCTGTGAAATTCAAAAATGGAGGCAGCACATGGGAAGCTGAGGCACTGTGGTACTGTGATTTTATATTTGACTGCAAAGATTTAACATGTCTATTTTCTCTTGTACTGCTTGGACTCTGAATGACTGAGAGCTCATCAATATCAGCTGCTTCCCTGGCAGCAAAAATCCCCTTGACGAGTTGTTACTTCACTTTATTTCCCATACAACTGGGTTATGAGAATGCAGAAAATGTGGAGTCATTTGGGCAAGCAATGATGCAAACACAAAGAAGCGAGCCCTGGAAGGCAGTGTCATGGCAGAGGGGATGACAAAGCCAGGCACTGTCACTGCTGAGACAGATTCAGTGCAGAAAAATGTTTCTGGAATGCATATATGAGTCCTTGTCCCTGGCTCTTTGTTTGGGAGCTTACATCAATACTGCTGCAACAAAGATTCCCAATAAGCTGAAACAAAATAAAATGTGCATTCATGGGAGCACTGCCATTCAAGAACACAAATTTCCCAGTTAAAATGAAGGTCAGTCATAAATTACATCTCTGATTCCCTCAGGATTTCTCTCTTGCTGTTTTGGCAGTTTAAGACCCCTTTGATATTTGAGCAAGGCCTTTCCCTTTGCACATCTGATCTTGATTACGGTTTATGGCAATGGTAATTCGTTACCTCCCCAAGGCAGCAATTCTGAGAAGGAAAGCGAGTACAGTATGATTGTTTAGGAGAGAGGCACAGTGCAGAGTGTTTTAACCATTTCTCCATTTTATAGCTGTGTCTCTTCCTCACAGATTACCCTTGCACATAGCAACACCATAAGCTCCTCCCATGGGAATGCCCCAATCCATCAGAGAAATCACTGTGTCTGGAGGCACAAACAACTAGGTTACATATTTACTTATCAAAACAGTGACCCCTGAGAATAAAGCTGTCGTTTGGATACATTTTAGATGCTGTTTTGTGGTGAACACAGACTAATGAGGTATCAATAAGCACCAGAGTTTTTCTTCCAGCTGTAAAGGTCCCAGGGGTTGCCCTCCCCATCTCTTTTTTTACAAAATGAAGAGGAATGTTCTTACTCAGTTTTGGGAATGGAAGTCTGTAAAATGGGGGTGTATTTCCTCATGGATCATCAATCAGCAGCCAAAAATACACTGAGGCTTTGCATGAAGGAATGGAATGAATGAAACTGGGGCTTGCACTGCTTTTCTGTGTATGCAAAAGGCAGAGGCAAATGTCCCAGTTGAAAGTGTATTGAGAGAATTTGAGACAACGTGAAGGTGGCAGAAAACAATGCCTATGTGCTTTTTTCTTCGGGTAGTATGAGGCATTTTGAGGCGATTACAATTGCAGTAAGATTGTTCATGTCAGTTTATAACATATGCTTCATTCTTTTATTGCTTTCACTTCTCTGGCTTGGTTCTACTGGCAGTTCCTTGGGTTCACTGAGGATTTTCAGTTTGCAATGTGAGAGGCTATTGAACATGCCTTTAGCAGCACTAAAATGCTCCTACATAAAATATGCTCTTACAGACTTGAGGGATGATTACAAAATTATTTAATTGCCATTCAGGCACTATAAATACTACCCTGTTAGTGAAGACAAGTGATGGGAACATTTCTTTCATAAAGGTGACCACAAATATTGCACTGGGAAGTGCAGGCAGCTTTTAAGTTTTGCAAGTTTGATCCTGGTGCCTGGCAGAAACACAACAGGCAGCATCCCTAATGATATTTTATTTTTTGCTTGCTTGTATAATACATTTTTAAAAGCTTAAATGTGTTTTTAAATAGGCCCATGTACATTTCAAATGGGACTTCCAAAGTGCAGCAGGACTTCCCAGGGACACACTGTATCTTGCCATGAAGATACCAAGGATGTGATAAACAAAGGATATTCATAACATTTTCCCAGGAAGAAGGAAATTTCCTAACTCATCATACATAAGCCTTTCATAAAAGTAATGCCAAACTTCCACAGAGCAGGAGAGGAACAAAGCCCTAGAAGCTCTTGCTGTTCCAGCGACACAGCAAACATGCTTGAAGCAAGTTTGGCATTATAAGCCAAAACATAGACTTAGTTAACACTAAGGAAGGATCCCTGTCCTCTATTACTTTGATTAGACTTCTAATATTAACGTGGAACATACAACTTGTGAAGAACGTGAAGGAAAAAAGCGTTTATTGCGTGTGTTTATCCATTTTCACTGATGTGAAACGTTGAAGAGAAGGGGGCTCTCCAGTCTGAGCCTTCAGGGAGGCCCAGCACTGCACTGCCAGCAGCTGGGGGGTGCCCAGCCTCCCGTGGGGAACACTGCATTAGGAAAGCTCTCCTTCACTCTCATAAATCAGCCTAATTACTCTAATGAGAGCTGCATCCCTCTGCTGCGAGCCCTGCTGGTTTACAGAGAGGGGGAAGTAAATAAAAAGGAACAATGTTGGCTGCTGCTGCAGGAGGGACACCGGGAGGGAGAACAATAGTCTTGAGTCTCCTCCCTGCCACCACCCCCTTAGGAGGGAAGAAAGAGATGACTTCGTGCACACCCCTGGAGTTATTCCAGATCAGGACTGAAATCAGACGCTGGGCTTGGCAGCATCTGCTGAAGGAAAAAGCACATAAAACAGAAGGCAGAGGCATGTTATTTTCCAGGCTCTGAGAGAATGTTGCTAAGGAAAGAAAAAGGATGGTATACAAGGCCTTGGAATGTCTGTCTAAGCAACCAACGTGCTATAAATACTGACCTGAGCTCTAATAGCAGCATCAAGTCTTTATGCCTTTGGATTTTTTTAGAGTAAAGGTAGATTTTACTTTTTGTCCCTTAAAAACATGTTTTTTGGTTCCTCTTCTTGCTTTGTATTTAAGCATTTTTTTTCCAATTGCAGCAATTAGAAACTTGTTTTTGTGTAATGAAATCTTAGATTATTTACTACATGAATCTGGGAGCTGAGGCTTTAAGCAAACCACAAAGATTTATTATGAAAATAGGAGAGCCAAAATTATGTGCAGCCCTACTCATTGTTGTCTATATTTTTGTCATGCTTCCTCTATTGTCCCCTCTTTATGATGACTGAAACAAATCATTCAAGTCTAGATTGCATATTATGACACCCACAAAGCCTCCTTGCTATTGTTTGGGCCAAATTAAAAGCATTTGTCAAAAATAATCGTGGAATGGCATAAAAAATCATGTTCATTTTGCCAAGGATTCAATTATTTCTATTGTGATAAATTTTTCTTCATGTTAGATACTAATTTATATGTTTTAACAAAAGAGATTGAAAAATTATACAATTCTGGCAGTGCTTCTGATGTTCTCCTCTCAGAAAAATTCCTCTGGATGTTGTCAGTTGCTTATTCTCTCTTGATCAGTTAGCTTTATTAAAATAAAATGTCTTTGTCCTACCCTTTATACAGCATACTTACTTCAATCTTTAGCTTCAGTTTGATAAACTGTTCAATTTCTAAATCACATCTTCAGTCTTCAGCTAGATGTCATGATCATATTTTTGGCCTTTCAGACTCCAAAGCAGGCTCTGAAAGTACTACAAACCCCTTCTATTCAGTCATCTTCCCATCTACCTTTCCCGCATTCACTTGCAGGGAATAAATACATTGTGATGTTAGGAGATCCCTTGGAGCCTCTTTCAGCCCTGAAATTGCTTGCTCCTCTAAGATTCCTGCTTCTGGGAAGTACCATGTCAGGTTAATACTTCTGGCTGCTGTATTGGTGCTGCATGCTCTCTCTGCCAGGAGTCAGCAGCCCTCCCTTCCCCTGCCATCCCACAGGGCTTCCAGCTTCTGCTGGCCTGGAAGCTCCAGAATTCCATCTCCAAACCATACCTTGTTCCCTGACACTTGCAGATCACATTGAGGCTGGATTAAAAGGGGCTTCCCTGACAGCTTTGAGTAACCCATAATGACTGTGGAAAGCTGGGTGTAGTTGATAAAGGTACTAAGAGAGGAATTTAACGTATAGAAAGCCAGTTATGTCCTACAGCCACAGATTACGGGGCCTTTCTTGGAGACATCACTGCATCTGACTTGACTGAAGTATAACATGGTGTGAAATTTCCAATAGGACTTTGACCATTACCAGCTTCAGGCACTGAAAAAGACACACATCACGAAGTGACACACAAGCACGATGTGTGAGACTGTTGTTAAATCATGAAAAAGATTTAGAATTGTTTATATCTGCATTTCTGAGCCTTTCTACTTGCTTTTGTGCTTTCAGCCTTTTCTTTACAAGAAACAGAAATGTAACTTCAGAGGGTAGGGGGAAGACAGACACAGAACATGCTCAGCTTTCAGGAACCAGGCCTCTGAGAAATGCATGCAGAATCCTGACTGTTAAAAACCAGAGCAACGGCAAGCAGGGCACAAGACCCACTAACTTTCAGTGAGTCTTGTGGCATAAAATCCTTGGGCACTTATTAAATTCTAGTATCTCAAAACTCATTCCAGAATTTTAAGATTATTTTTCGTTACCTTCTTAGCTCTTATACAGGCCACAGCACAAGAATCAGAAGTTTACATTGTGAAATCCAGTAACACTGTAGTTTAGTTAAAGGGGATTTGTGCTCCTGCTAATAAGATTATTTTAACTACAAGTTACATCATAGCTTCTCAATGTAACAATCCCAGTGTAGCAGAGTAGTAGCTCAAGCAGCTATTATTTATTTAAAAGACACTTAGAGGTGGCACTTAGGGACATGGCTTAGTGGTGGGCATGGCAGTTCTGGGTTAATGGCTGGACTTGACTACCTGGGAGGTTCTTTCCAATTTAAATGGTTCTGTGGCTTTTGATAGCTCTTTAGAACATTTGGCCGTGCTCTCCCACCACACAACCAGATGCAGAACTTACTTGAAACAAAGGCAAGCTCCATGTAAGGCAATATGCAAATTCTAATTTAAATCTGCAAAGTCAAGTTACACTTCCCAATGTTTGGCTGCTTCTGACTTTGCCAACACTCGAAACTATAAAATACTTATCAGCTAATCAAAGTTCAAAGGTCATCTTAATGTTTGAGAACCAAGCCTCACTCCAGCTACATCAGTGTGGTAACACATGTAGTAATACATGGCATAGTAAACCGTGGGAAAAACCTCGTACTTAAAAGTTAGAGGTTAAGTTGCATACCTAAGTAACAACATACTTACATAAGTAATATATGACACGTATATATAATATACATGCAATATAAGTAAAAACATATACTGCTTTATTAAGTTTATCTAAAATAAGAAAAGGAATTTTAGACTGAACAAATCTGAGACCAAAAATCTGTTTTGGACAAGCAGTACTTGCAGCCAAGAATCTGCATGTAGGAGTGAAGTTACTGAAGTATAAAAGGTCTGCAATGACCTCTTTTCCTTACAATGGCTGCTTGCTTTTAGAATTTGCATTACGAAAATTTGTTGACAAAAAAAATAAATAAAGGTCCCATGGAGCAGCTTTAGCTGCCTCCTATGTAGAACTAGCTTTTCTTGAAGCAAATTATCCCATTTATTATTATTCAAAAGAATTTTTTTTTTTTTACTTAGCCCAATAATGATGTAGGAGGAAGCAAGTTAAAATAAAGAAAAGCCCTCTCACTTGCTGCTCTTGGAGGCAACCCAGTCTGATTCAGACCATGGCCAGCAGTTTTGTTCTTTTGTGCTTTTCCTTGTCTTTGATGGAGACCAACACCAGATACTGCTCTGCCCCAGGTTCTTTCACTACATTATCAGAAGTTTGCCCTCTCTTTATCAGAAATGAAATGATGCACTCTAATAAAACAGCGTCTGATCTGGAGGAACCACTTTGTCACCAAGACTTTGCTACCAGTAAATAAAAATGGAAACCTTTATGCAAACCAGCAGGACTTTAGCCAGCATGAAAATAACTGAGTTACTGTCCTCATTCAAAAACTATTTACGTTCGATCACCCCAGACAGCAGGAAAACCAACTGTTCCCTAAAACATTGTAAAGGTCTGTGCAGACACTGCTGGTACTCAGAGACTTCACAGCATGCAGACTTTTAATTGCTTCTCCTTCTTCTCTGCACACAAAGGCATCTGCAATGTTTATCTCTAGCACATCTTAGTGGGGAATAGATTAGGTTGTAAAATAGAGCAGGATTGCAAAGAAAGTTGCTGAATACATACAATGCCTTGACGTAACTTTTACCAAATAGCCTTACTGTGCCATACTCCACTCTGTCTTACCACATATTTATTAATTTGCAATACAGGTCACACTCAGAGCTTTGAAGAAGACACAGCTGACCTATAACAGCTTCCTCAATGAGATCATTATCTGCAAGATCCAGCCCACTATTCCTTTCCTCTTTCTAATTTCAAGTTATAATCTTTTCTCAAACACAGACAAAACACTTCTGAAACAAACTCATATCACTCTGAACACAGTCTTAATACAAATTAAATTACAACATCTCATATAGACCTATTTATGCAGAAGATAATATTATTTATACTCAATGACAAACACAATAAACTTCTGTTCTTTAATCTCCATGGCATATCAGGAAAATTCCCATCCATCCATTGCTTTGACCTACATCCTTTTTTTAGGATGAAACTCGAATCAGGTGTCTGTTGTTTCTCTGGAATATAATATTATCACCCCATCCAATCATAAATTTTGGGACACTGTCAAATTGAATGTAATCTGTTTATCATGCAAACAATTTTCCCAAGTGTGCCAGAGCATGTCTGGACAATATCAAGATAGTGAAAGCACCTCTGACCCACCACATGTCAGAAGAGCAGCATGTTTCTGGTCAGCAGCTTGGGATAACTAAACACATGGTGAACAAGGAGCTAGGAAATAGAGGCAACAAAAGCTGTTGCAGGAGGAAGATGAGAATGGTGCTACGAATGATGCCTTATGCGGAAGCAAGACTGTGAAGACTACTGAAAAAACAGGGTACACAACCTCATGCAAGTTGCTAATGTCCAACCTGTTTTTGAATTGTCTTTTCTAATGACAGATAATACTGAAGTATTAGACAGCTTTCTACCAAGAACACGCCATACTTAGGGAAATGCTGAGTATATTTATATATACATTTTAATGTATGTGTGAGTATACACACACATATATATGATATGATATGTAAATATATGAATACTGCTGTAAGGGTCACCTGTCCTAGGTTCTTAATCTGAATTAATACAGCTAGCTTATACTCACTATAGAAGAGCCCCATCTCTTCAGATTAGGTCTAGAGTTCCTCCCTTGCCATGCCTCTTCAATCCATTAACCCAAAACAAGCTGTAGTGGCATATGGCTGCCCCACAGCCTGCTGCTGTTATATGTGCTCTGTATGCTGTTATAGATGGACTAGAATTCAGACCTCCCACTACCTTTAAGCATCAAGAAGCCTCCATGCCTAAAAAACCTGGTGGTCTTACTTGCACTAGTATAAGGTAATAAGCAGCCTGATAAAATAATACAGTCTATAAAGACAAGGTACCTGAAAAAGGTTAGGCTTTGAAAGGTAATTAATTGACAACTATCATTAAAAGTTCTTTCTGTTCCTCTGCCCCACCTCCAACAGGTCCCAAAGCAGGGGCTTAAAAAGAGCAGGTCTGGAAAGTGAAAGTGGATGCTGAGGAGCTGGGATACCTTGTCACGCAGGGTCTATCTACGGAGAAAGGAGTAACACATCAGGCTGCATGCAATGTGGAGAAGCAACAGCAAAAAAGTGTGGCTCTAATCAGTTATATCTATCCCTACCCCCAACACACAGGTTGAGAATGCATAATCCTGTCCGTTTATGTCAAAACACCAAACAGGACATGAATCCCTGGGAACCACTCCAGAGCATTCAATTAAGGCTGAAAAAGCAAAGCCTCCATTCCCAGATCTGTCCCTTATTTGGGGCAGATTACCACTGAGTGTCACTGTCAATCAAGGGGATAAAGATATTAACATTCTCTGTGAGGTACTATGTGATCAGTTCATTGGAAGCACTTGTTTATATATCCTATATAAATATATCTATTTATACATGTGTCATTTCTAAACACTTTTAAAAACAAAACCAGCATGGCATAAAACCAAATTTTGTTTCAGTTAAATGGCTGCTGTACAGGTAGTTTCCTTCAGACATGCTCAAAGAAAACATTCTCACATGCACACCATGAATGCATATGGCAGAGTGCCACGGGAGGCCTCAATGGAATACTTCATTAAAAAACAAACAAACAAAAAACTGAAAGCACATTCCAAATCCAGCAAGCAACACTTCATGCAAATAATTTAAACTAAGAGGAGCCACAAAGTTTGCAACTTGACTGAAGGATTAAGACTGCATTTAACCAAGAACTCTGTGTACTACACAGTGAATACCAACAACTTACAGGCTTGTGGGCTTCAGTGGAACTTGGGCATCTGTATTTTTGGTCACAGGTATTTGAACTTGAACAACCTGAATCTAAAGCAAGAACACTTTAGGCTTCAGAGAAAAAAACACTAAAATGTACAGGATTTTAAATAAATATTCTTCTCATGAAGTCATGTCCCTAAGTCAAATGTCACTGAGATGCAGAATTCCCTGAGTTTCAAGAACAGGAAGACGTCACACTTTTCTAACAAGTTCAGTGACTCCAGAGTGTATCGGATTTCCTAAGTGTGTCTACAGGGCCAACTGCTTCTTGGCAGGGCAGAACAACCCTCACTGAGCCCAGTTCTGCAGCAGCTACACTGCTTCCAGCTGTACCTGAGCTCCTGCCTTTAAAGATAACCTGGCTGCAACTGGGTATCACATTCCTTGTGACTGACAGCATGGACTGGGTTTTCTTTCTTTCAGTTTGGTGGACCTTACAACAAGGCTAACAAGGATGCTCCTCTCTTTCCTGATGGTGGTCTCCACTAAAAAGGCAGCTTGTCTTCCACCTCATGTTCCCTGGAATGGAGTATCCATTCCACTCATGCTAGCATCAACTCTTGAGAAAGACTCAGTATTTAACAAAAAGTACCTTGGATTCATGAGTTAAGCAATTAATCTCACTACAAGGCAGTGAGCAGCACAAATGTCTAGCAGGATTTCTGTTACCGAACAACTGCAAAACCATTTAAGAATTACTGCCAGTTTTTTTGTTTTAAATATACAAATTTGACAAGCATATCATTCATCCCTGAATATAAAAAAAACATACAAAAACCAAACTCTCTCATGCTTAAATTCAACTTAAAGTGCTCTTAATGTATAAGGAAAAAGAGGTTTTAAAAAAGTGTAAGCTTGCAGAATATGAAGAGGATTTTGTGTCAGGAACTGACAGACATGCCTGATCAGAATCTTTTCACTAATCATATAACAACAACAAATAGTACTTTGATCCAATTCTGAATACAGACAGACATTTGAAAGCCTTTATGAAAGAAATATGATACTTTTTACTATGTTCAACTAAATCAACTATATGGTTTTTTAAAAAAATGTAAATTACAAATCTGTCATGGACTATGATGTAAATAATTTTCTAGAAGTGTTCCCATAAATCCCGTATCAATGGAAAATCTTAAGCCAATTATGGGAGCTCTGACTGAAGCAAGAGAACCTACATATATGAAGCTCAAAAAATACGACCTGTGAAGATTTAACTTTAAAATGCTCTGTGACTAATCTATCAGGTTTCATAATTTTAAACATTTTTCAAAGTAGGCATTAAAAAATTTTTAGCCTCTTCGTTTTATAGTCTCTAACACTCCTGTGGTCTAAGGCTGAGAGGAGAAGCCACCCCACGAAACTTCACAGGCCCTGAAGTGAGGTATCAGAGAAAAAAGCTCCCATCACAGTTAGTGGAATCACGATTAATTCCACCTCTAGAGCATGACTGACAGGACGTTTTTCAAATGCCTTTTCCTGAACATGATCTCTGTCTACACATGCTTGTTTTCCTCTAATATGGATGAATCCTTTCCTAAAAGTAATATTTTCCCTACTTGTGACATTCAAATTAAGCATACTTAGAAATATCATCAGCTTTGCAGTGGGTCACAAACAATGGGTGTGCTATGATAAAATGGATGTATTTTAGACTGTTATTTTCCATTGTGCTGCTAAATAAGATACCTAAGTTTGTACTAAAATTTACAAATCTTCTGTAGTAGTTCCTGCAGCATATCCATAGTCTTGCACAAACAGGCAAAAAACCCCACAGTGTTCCACCCCACAAGATCCTGTAAAACTACTTTCCAAAACCACTACAAGATGGAAGTGTTCTACTAGCCCCAGTTCTACTAACACCTTATTTTGCAAATACATAGTACAACACTGCACTACTTTTCACACAACCTCCACAAGCTAGAGCTAGGAATGACCATATAGCTCCCTGTTCTGCAAGCTTGAACCTCTCCGTGTTTGATCAACACCTAACATGCAAGTAGCTGGGTTTTACAGCTAGACAGTGAACCAAGCTTCATCTGAAAACAACTGAGGTAGACAACCATCAAGGACTACTCTGGGGCATCTAATAAAATCCCCGACAGATTTATATATTGTAGTTAAGGGGCAAATTAATCACAGATTTATATATTGTAGTTAAGGGGCAAAGAACAAAAACCCCATCCCAAGTTTAAAGAAGACATGGAACAGACACCCAAGAAGTGGCCACAGTGCCTCACTCCACCCCTGTAAAACAACAGACACTGACAAAGCAATTGGTGCACAAATTAAATCAAAGGCTAGTCTGTCCTCCACCCAAAAAAGAAAATATTTACATCTATATTTAAAAACACACACATACATTAAAGGTAGAAGAGCACTCTGATTTTAGGAAAATTTGCCTACTCATCCATTAAGAAAACCACCAACACACACACAAATAAATCAACACTAAAGTATTTATTAATAATTCTTTGCTCATTCCTAAAAAGGAAGAAATTAAAAAAGAAAATAAATTATAAAAAAATAACTGTTTTGTCTACTTCTCAAGAATCTAGGATCTGGTCAAAGTTAAGGTAACTGCCAAAAGCTACACCTTATCACTCAAATCTCTCCTAACCAGCAAAATCATCTAAGGAGTAACAGATATTGCTCTTCTGCACAAGACTCATCTGTATGATGAATTAACTGTAGGCATTTAATCCTTTGGCTAGCAAACTTCTGAAAGTTCTTGTTACAGAATTACCAGTTCAGCTTAATCCACTTACTTGACTGGGAGCGGAATACGCTTTTACCCCAAGACCTAGATGGAAATGATTCTCAATTCTGAAACAGCAATCCAAGGTCCAGTCACCTGGGTTTAGACTACAGTTTGCTTCATTGTTTAAATGTACAATTTTTTGGGTATTTGAAGATGCCTAGTCTTCCTGGTCTGAAGAATTCCTAGTCCAATGTAGCCATGGTATTATGAAAAATCCTTTGCTGGGATTTTTCCTTTCCTGAGAAGCTGAGGAGCCTCAGGAGAGAAATGTAAACAATTACTATCTGCTGCTGTGGAATGCAACAGGTGCATCCATGATTGGTCCATGTGGATTGTTTTCCATTGATGACCAATCACAGCCACCTGTGCCAAGGCTGTGAGCAGACACAGGATTTTGTTATTCAGTTCTGTTCTATTCTTGTTGTAGCCTTCTGATCTCTCTGTTCTTTTAGTATAGTCTTAATGTAGTATTTTAATATAATATTTAACATAATAAATCAGCCTTCTGAAATGGAGTCAAGCCTCGTGTCTCCACACACGGAGAGTCCTCAACAGTCCAAGGAAACAAATCTCTTGCATTCACCAAAAGCCAAAAACCTGCCCATCCTCTGCCTAAACTCTCCAAGTTCAATCTGACATGCAGACTACATTAAGTACACACAGAACTGGAGGTTCTTTATAAAATTTGAGCAATTTCCTGAGGACTGTTCATAGAAGATCAACCAGGACAGGAAACAGCATCCTGTGTGAGCCTAGCAGCACACTTTCCCAGCAAACAGGAGGCTCAGATTCCAGTCTCCTGCTGGAACAGAAAGAGAAAACAAAATACAGATTGCGTCTTTTGCTAACCATCCGTGGGCTTAAAGGAAGGGGGAAAATGTCCAGAGCTCAGATGAAGCTCAAATGATTTACAGAATCTGATTTGCTGGGTAGCAAGAACTGTAGGAAGTACCTCAGTACAAGTACACTTAGAGCAGACAGAAATTAGGACAAACCCCACCTCTCTATCATCCTACCCCATCACGCTCCAGCCATCCCTAACCAGGGCTTCACATCCATACCTTCTCTTTATTCCCTACCCTTAAAATTAGGGTGAACCCCCAGTCCACTCACCTCCATTTCTGTAAGGTGATTAACAGAAACTGCATGTGGGAGGCACCTGAACTGCAGGGTAAGCACCTTTGAAGAGACAGTAATGGGGTGTGAATGGCTGCTGGCATAAGCACTTCACCCAGTGGTTCCTATAATCACTTCCACACAGAAAATTACTTGCACTCCAACATACCACCCACAAGCAGTTTCTTTGGTAACTGCCAAAAATCTCTTCTGTTTACTTGCAAGGAGTCAACAGTCAAGTATTTTGAAAAAACTGTTGATCACTAATGAGTTAAGTGCTGGGCACATTTTCAACAGGTACTTCTATAAAAGCAGGGAGTCATCAGATCTCTTCCAGTTATGTTCTATTATTTGGAAACCTGGTAAAGGTGCCTTTACATAAATTCAGTACTTTAGCCAACTGCTCTAGATGCATTTCACTAAACCTCTGAATCAGGCACAGATAGGAGTTTCAAAAACTGTCTCCTCACATACTAAATAAGATACAGAACATCCAATACAGCAGTTTAGATTAGGAACCCAACTTTTGTCAGTAAGGTTCCTAGACTGTAAGCATTCCAGTAAAGCACCAGGTCAAACTCAGAGTGTCATAAAAATTCAATATAAAAATTAAGTTAGGAATAAGTGTGATACTTTAAACGTACGACCTGCCTTATTCCAGGTAAACTTTCTGTTTCAGGCTATCCCTGCAGAGCTGCTGCCATCTTCAAATTATCACTTCTCTTCCAGCAATACTTTGGACCAACTTAGTCTGCATGTCTTCTGAACAAAGTGAAGTTGTTTAACAAAAGCTATTCATGTCAAGATTTATAGTGTCTGAAAAGGCAGTGAAAAAAGGTTACCACTTCAATAAAAGGGTTCATTTGGGTAAATACAAAATATAATGCTAAACACTATTTCTGAGTAGCAACTCTACAGGTGCACGATGACTGCCACACTAGGGAGTTATTCTAAAGATAGGCAGGCCCTAGAGATCTATTATTTCTCTCCACTTTTGAATGTGAATTTAAATGGAAATTTTAGATTGGGATCACTGAATGGAATTCTAGCAACATTTTGACTTTTTATTTGAATGTTGGGAGGCCCCCATATGTGCGTAAGTACTAGTCAACAGTTACATTTTCCCCTTAGTTTTTTAGTAAAAGAAAAATCAAGCATCTCCAGCTATTTAGTTTTGACACTGTAATAGCTACAACTAGACATAATGCCTGTGAAGTAGATTTCTTTAAAGTCTTATAAGGCTTCTCTTAGAGCTTCTTTAGTTTTATCAGCTCCAGTAGAACAAGCAGCATTATTTATGATTACTCTAAGGCAAACAAACCTGTAATTATTGTGTGAGACCAGTACTAGAAATTAACTGTACTGTTCTCCATAAATGAGCTTTCTATGATACAAATTATTTTTCACAATTTCCAGTTCCAGTGCAGCTAATAAGAAGCAGCAGCCTACATTTGCAACTCAAAGTTCTTGCTCTTTAGTTAAGTGTTTTTCCTGAATCTTCCTATTTCCAGCAAATCAGTTACTACGAGTCTAAGGGCAGACAGATTGTCATAAAATGTACAGTCAAATAAATCACATTTTTGCTACTAAAAATAGCAAAATTTTTGTGTTTCCCTTCAACATAAACAAAGTGGTCCTAAGTGCTGCAGTACTACAACAGCAATACCCCTGAGATAATGTTCCTCTATCACCTCTGCATGACCCACTGGGAACCCCCCAGAGGGAAGCCCTGGGAAGTGCCACACAAGTAAACTGTGATTAGCTCAGTCACACTCATCCCTGATGTAGCTTGGCAAGCAGAACATAAAATTTGCTCCCTATTATTGATGAAGAGCTATTACCAAAACTATTCACATCTCCATTCCCTCTATATGTGCACCTGACAGACACACCACTATCAAGTCAGGAGATTTCAATTGCACTTCTTTCAATTTAGTTAACTGGTATTGAATGAAGATTTGACAAGATAAAGAGTTTAAAAAGTTACTATTGTAACACACAAATAAGTGGGACAAATGCACGCGTACGTGCACACACTGCTGAGAGAGATTTCTGCAGAACAGAGAAGTTCAGCAGAAACAAAAAACAGCATTAAATTGAAATTTATGCCATGCTGTTATGTCATCCCTGATCTCTAAGCTAAGTTCTATTTTAATGTCCTCTGTTAAGAGTGGCTGATAGCTGCAAACCACTTCTAATTTTCTTCTTTCACCTTTCATTTGTATTTCTTTCACATCATTTCAGGATATTCCTTATTCTCCACAACCTTATTACAATTATTTAACAGATCAGTATAGAGCTAAAAGGCACTAAAAAGGCTTCCAGAAATTCTATTACTGGCTTTTAGCCAGGAGTATCTTCTTTGGTCTTGTGTTTGCCTCCGTATTTTTAACTGGACCCCAATGGTATTTCAGGTTTTCTAGCTGCTATTGACACTTTTTTCATGCTCCCAAGTGAATTACTGGTCCAAGCATTCACAGTGTAGCTGTCTTTCCACCTGTACCAAACCCAGCTTTCACTGCAGCACATCTTTCTAAACAAGGCTTTGAAGAATACCCTCAGAAGATGCATGAAGCACATACAGTGCTAAATTTTAAGCCTCCATTCCCTGCATTACTCCTGATTTCTCACCTTATCCCTCTATTATTCAAGTAGGCAATTACTGTAAACAGGGCTGTCTTTGTGCATACATCAGACAGAACTCCAAGCTCCTAGAGGAAGCTAAATAGCTCATTTCTACTTGGTCCCAACAGTAAAGCCTAAGCATTTGTAAAGTCAAAAGAAGTAGTATCTGATTGACTTGCATCCACTAGTTTTCAAAAATTGATTTACTGGGAGCCATCTGAAGTCAACCAATAAAACCTGCCTTTTTTCTAAGCCTTGAAGCATAAAGATGTCAAAACTGACAGTCTCCCATCTGCCTCAACTACCTAGCTGCTATTTTTGGCAGTGTTCAATTAAGTAGATTTTTTAAAGCAAAATGGCAACTTTATTTCAACTATTTTCTAGCGCATTTGAAAATAACAAAACATACAGAAAGACTGAAAGAAAATCCCTCTCTGCTTATACTGTGGCTGTAAGGTTCTGTGGCTGACCACATTTCTCACCTAGTGGAATTTTAGCACTGCAGAGTCCAAACATTTGACTGTTTCACGTTATATTGGTTTTCAGATCTGGTGAATGCTTTAAGCTTCCCACTTCCTTCTTGAGGACATTAAGTAAAGTTCTAGAGCTATCCAAAATCTTCATGTAAGCAGCTTCAGTTTCAGCAAGTATTTTATCAAGCTCGTTCCGTGAAGCCACTTTTTGGGCCAGGTTTTCACACACACACTCCAGCTGTTCACTGAGGACTTGGATTTCATGCTGGAGTTTATTCTTTTCCTCTTCTGCTTGCTGGATTTGTTTGTTCAGTTCTTCTTTTTGCATACATAAATCTTCAATGCATTTCACTAGTTCATTATTGTAACCCTGAAGAACAGCTCCCTGCTGAGTCATCCTGCACTCACTCCCTGAAGTCCCCTTTCAGCAATGGCCTTCTGCACTCCAATTAAATGAAAACAAACAAACAAAGAAACAGAAAAAAAAAATCTGTAAGATGTTGCCGCGAATAATGCTTCACTAGCACAGATGGAGCTACCTGACAAGGTTCTCTATTTAAGGCTAACATGCCCATTCTCAGATGCGCCACATCTCTTCCCTTTTCAGGAGGGGGACAGAAGAAAATTTGGCAAATGCTCTTAAACCTTTACTGAAAACTGCTGGCCCCTATGAAACTGTCATAGCAATAGTATCAAAGTATTTATGATATTTTTTATAATACCTTTATCCAATCCTGAACGTAGGATGCTTTGTACCTCAAACTTTGAGGGTCTGGTCAGAAATAAGCAAAAATTACAAAATCACAGAATGGTCAGGGTTGGAAGGGACTTCTGGAGAGCATCCAGTCCAACCCCCTGGCAAGACAGGGTCACCTGGAGCATCCAAGTGGGTTCTGAATGCGTCCGCAGAGGGAGACTCCACGCCCTTCCCGGGCAGCCTAATCCAGCGCTCTTCCACCCCCAACAAGAGGAAGTTTTTCCTCATTCTGAGGTGAAATGTCTTGTGTTTTAGCTTATGGCCATCACTCCTCTTCCTGTCACCGGGACCACCCTGAGGGGCTCAGCAGGCACCGACAACACCAGGGAATCTTCCCGACACAGCGAGCGCCCGGAGCTTCCCAACACTGGGGTGACGCGGATCGCGTGTGCCGGGGCCCCGCCGTGTGCCACCACTCACAGCCCCGAGGACACCCCGGGGCCAAGGCCCGACCCGCGCGGCCGCCGTGCCAGGGACATTTTAACACCCTCCTCGCCGCAGAGCGCGGCCCCGCGGAACACGCGCCGCGCACAAAATGGCTCCTGTCTGCACACCGAGTGCCCGGGCGGAAGGGGAGGAGGGGGTAGGTAAGAGGAGACCGGCCCATTCCTAGCTTCCCCCCGCAATTCCCCCTGTTGCCCCCACCTGCCTGGCAGGATCGCGATTCCTCCCCACCGAGGGAGCGGCTCTGCCAGCGAGGCCGCGCTGCCCTCGGCTAACCGTGCGCCCGCCAACGACCGCGCCGGCCCGTGAGGGGTCACGGAAATACCCGAGCGCTTCCGAACGCGGCGCCGCCCTGACGGCCGCGCGGAAACGTCTCTCCGGAAAAACGCGATGTTTTCCGAAGACAGGTAGCGCTCGCAAGAGTGGGCCGAGGCGGGAGGGGCAGGGAGGGCCGAGCGTTACGGAAGGAGCCGATATTTGCCGAAGGGAGGGACTGAAGGGCGTCGTGCTCGGCGGAGGCAGCCGATGTTTGCCGAAGGGAGGGACTGAGGGGCGTCGGGCTCGGCGGACGCAGCCGATGTTTACCGAAGGCAGAGTCGCCCGAGAGCAAAGGGGACAGAGGGGACGGAGCGCGTCGGAAAGAGCCGGAAAGAGCCGACGTTGACCGAGCGCGGCGTCGCCCGAGTTCCCCGGATGTAGTTGGAGCGGCGGCGGCGGGCGCGGCGGGGGGAGGCGGTGGCCGAGTCGGTGCTCCCGGTGTGTCTCAGCGCGCGCGGGGCCGAGCTGCCAGCGTCTCCCCTCTCGAGGCGATGGGCCCGTGAGCGCCGCTCCAGCCGAGCTGCCCGAGCCGCCCCCTTCCCCCGCCCCTGCCCCCGGAGCGCTGCC